TTACACAATAATACATCCACACATACACAACCTACCATGACAACCTTTTCGCCAACGCAAAATTCTGGTTCTGGTATGAACCATGTGGGTCGAAGTACGCAGAACCAAGGATTGTCAAACCAATTACCTATGCTCACAACTAATAATCAGGCAGTATTTAGGCAACAAATGGATGCTAGTAACCTTGACATGGTTGGAGTGCTTGCCCGTGAAATGAATGATATTTTCTCCCCTTTGATCCAAAATGTTAATAGGACAAACCAAGAAAATACCCAATCTTATCAGCAAATGTCAACGCAGATGGAGCGCATAGCATATTTTTTTTGGAGCCCCACAAGCACCTGTTTGACGCAGGAAAAACCAGGTGGCAATTCAAGAAGAACCCATTATCAATCAGGTTCGACCACCCAGACAAGAGGTTACCGACAGGGACATAGGGGAAAGGGTAGAACAACAAGAGATTCGACATGAAATCCTTGTGGAGAAACCTAGGAGAGTAGTAATGGTTAACAGAGACCAAAATGCAGAAGAGGTGATCCATAGGGTCAGGCAGGATAACATGCTGGCTGAAAATAATTTAACCACCATGATTGAAAGAATCATGGCCCAAAATGGCCTGAATACAGGGTTTCGACGGCCGAATTACACATCTCCATTAACAGGTTTTATTTTGCAGGCTGAATTACCATGGGGTTGCAAAGTCCCCAAATTCACAAAATTTTCTGGAGATACTAACGAATCAACTGTCAAACATGTTGTCAGGTATCTGATAGAAGCAGGGTATTTGGCAAATAGTGAAAATTTAAGGATAAAATATTATTTGCAAACGAGTTAAAAACCTTATTGGGCCATCCAATTCAATAAGGATACCCCCTCTTATACTTATACGATGATGAAACCAAAATGGACTTAGTCGCGAGGCAAGCTGAGCCCAATATACCCCTCTCTTTAATATAAAAAAACAAAAGCAATTTCAAAGGACCGATATAAAAACTGAAATGGGCCGGTTTATAAGTGAAACAACAATACACCCCTCAATTTTATGAATCAGATAACAAGACTTTTAGTAAATCAATAGGCTGCAAAGACTTATTGGCCCAGTCTGCCAAATGAACTATCTATACGCCCCTACTTCTAATGTAAAGAATGAATTTAAAAACCCTTAATGAGCCATAAAATTTTGATGGCCTATTTTGAAACAGACACCCATTTTATGGTTTTAAACCCCAAATAGAATGTCCCAAAAGTACACAAATTGAAACAATATAATTTTATGATTTTAGAAATGTAGTAATAATATTGAAATATAATAGGATGATTACTGAAATTGATAGAGAAAATTTGGGGTATGACAGAGCAGTGCTGCCATGGCCGGATCGACATTCTGATGAATATGAACTGGTTGTAGGATCTCTGGCAACTCCTCGGTGGGGTTCTTGGACCTCTGCTCGTCCAAGAACTGAAGATTAACGCGTTCAGCATCGGCTAAATCTGGGGATAAAGTCTATCTATCTCAGTCATCGAGGTCATCCTTGAGGTGATGATGCTCTTGGCTTCCCTCGGTTTGGTGGACAGGAGAGAGTACAGTCTTTCCAGAGAGGTGATGGTCATCATGGTCGACCATGATTGAAGTAGAGAAAGTATCTTTGGTATTTGGTTTTGAGTAAATGGAAGATGAGGAAGATAAGTTCCCACAAACGGCGTCATTAATCTTACTGGTTGATCATAACTTGCAAGGGGGGTGAAGGTTGACACCTGGTTTGCTGGAAAGTTGAGGAGAAATGGGGGTTGTACCTACAAATCACTCTGATGATCAAGTAAGAATGAGTGCGAAGAGATACGAGAAAGATATTAGGATTTTAGGTTTGAATATTAAATACCTGGCCTTCACATATATGAGGGTTTATATAGTGCCCCCGACGCTTGACCATCGGTTCCTATTCTTGGGCCTAGATATGTGGGTCACAAAAATAGGTAACTACCAGGATCTGGTCAAAATGAGTAGTCGTGTTCGTAACTAGCCGTTGCTTCGAGCAAGGATGAGATGACGGGCATAAGCGTTTATGAGCGTCTCTTGGGTGTCTGCTCTTCGTGTGTCGAGCAGACTGGGAGTTTGTTTCCCTTGTGGGCAGGTGTACGTATCAGACATCGCTGGTCGTTCCTCTTGAGGGCGTGGTCGACCAGGGATACTGGGCCAACATTATTGGGTTGTGTCAAGGATAAAAGCGAATTGGGCCAATTCCAACTATTGAGTCAGTCCAGAACAAATACTAAATATCTCAGCCAATTTTTTCTAATCCACTGTCTTTCTAAAAATGAACCTATAATTATATATAGAAAAAGAGGACGTGCAATTAGACAAATTATAAATGAAAGTCTATGAATAATTATGATTTACCCTCTCTCCAATCTTCTCACAATTTCTCTCTCTTTGTGTTCTTCTATCTTAGGGGTGATTTTTGACCATTTTTTGCTTGAAATCACCCCACAACACTTTTTTTCTTCTCTTTTTATTTAAATAAGTGGTTAACCACATAGATCTACATTTTATGTTTTGTATTTTTAAGTTTCAGTCGTCTTGTGCGGTGTGTTTGTTGTTTTTCCGTCTTAATGTAATATTTGTTGATTCAAATTGACATATTTAATTCAATTTATTACAGATCTGATGAAGACTTGAGCGTCAATATTGTAGATTTGGAAATATGAGTATTCCAGTTATTTTTATTGTCATATTTGTAGGCACTTTCATGTTACTGTTGTATGCTATACGCTATTAACCTAGGTGCTACAAGATTGTTTGCAGATTCACCTTTTTCAATTTTTATCAATCTCGAATTTGTAATGATAATGTATTTTTCAATTTGAATGAATGAATACCTTTTTGATTAAAAAAAATTGTGATTTATTGTAGTTAGTAGATTATACAAAGAGACTTAAATAGTATTAAGAAAAAAACTACTATCTTATTTTTAGTCCTTTTATTTAATTAATAATAATAATAATAATAATAATAATAATAATTATTATTATTATTATTATTATTAATTAATGAGTGAATTAATAGAAAAAAATAATGATAAGTGGTTAGTGCTATTGGGAGATGTCTCTTTGATGTATTACTGTTGGTTACTTTAATAATTAGTGGTTGGTTTTTATTTGTTGGTTTTAATTAGTAGTGGATGTAATATGTAATCTACTTAATTTTTGGATTTTTTATTTAATAAAAATACATAAATTAATGTCTTAATTTTAGCCATACTTTAAATTAAAATTTAATAATTATTTTTAATTACATTATCACTAATTAATAACTAATAGAGTGTTTTTTAGTAAAAAGAAGTTATATAGTACATATTATATTTTAGGGTTAATACCTATTTTCACCCCTGACATATGGAGTGTATTTGAAAAAACCCCCTGCCAAAAAAAAAGTTCCAATTGTTACCTTGACAAATTTTAAAAGTTTCAGTTTTTACCTTGAGGATGCCACATCACCTAAAAGGCTGATGTGGCTTATATTTTTGTTACATTTGTAAGTTTTTGTTATGTCATGTCACACAATACCAAATAAAATGTCCAAAATGTCCTTTCTACATTTTTCTTAAAATCCCAAATTATTTGGCAAATGCTATGTTTCAATTCAGACCCTCCAAATTAGGGCGCAGCCATCTTCATCTCAGCAACCCAACTTTTGCTTTCCTCTTCATCTTTAAGTTTTCTTTGATTTCACAAACATGAGTCAACCAAATTGTTCTACTTCAAGCTTATCTTCAAATGGTAGAGTAACTCCCAAATGCGGCCACAATGTCTCCATGAAGTTATTTGTTTCAAAATCGGTTGCAAATCCCGGGAGAAAATACTGGAAGTGTAAGTTCTGGGGTAAAGGAGATGACTGCGACGCATTTGTTTGGGATGATGAATTTTCTGATGATTTCGGTGATAACGGCCATTCGGATGTAGTTTCAGTAGAACTGATGAGCAAACTGGAGAGAGATATCGCACTGAAGATGGAAGCCATGGAGAAAAAAATGGATGAGTTAAAAAAGAAGCTGAATTATGTTTTAGTTGGGTTTATTTGTCTTTTGGTTCATTTCTTACTTAGTTCATGTAAAAATTCATGAAGCTGTGACTTATGTTCTAGGAAGTTGTAACCTATGTAAAATTTAGTTCATGAATTATATTTCTTTGTTATGGAATATGGAATATATTACTCTCATGAGTTTTGGTTAGTTGAGTTATGGAATATGGAATATATTTCTTTCTTATGGTTTCTTATGGAATATATTTGCTTAAGTCTGTTCTGATATATTGTTAAGTAAAACTGTTTTGGAATATTTTGGAAATCTGTTCTGATATTTTGGAAATCTGTTCTTAAGCAATTCTGTTGAGTAATTATGTTGTACAAAATCTGTTGTTAAGCAAATCTGTTGTTAAGTAATTCTGTTCTTAAGCAAATCTGTTGTACAAAATGACAATAACATAGTTAAGCCAATCTGTTGTGATACATAGTCAAGCAAATCTGTTGTACAAAATGACTTTAACATTGTTAAGCAAATCTGTTGTGATACATAGTCAAGCAAATTTGTTGTACAAAATGACTTTAACATTGTTAAGCAAATCTGTTGTGATACATAGTCAAGTACATCTGTGATACAAAATGACTTTAACATTGTCAAGCAAATCTGTTGTGATACATAGTCAAGTACATCTGTGATACAAAATGACAATAACATGATACATAACTTAAGCCAAGCATGTTCTGATAATAAGACAAAGTAACAAAATGACACAGGAAACTTTCAAATTGAATTTTACAAAATAGCACACTATGTGCACAACTACTGATCAATGCCCTTCCTCTTCTTCCTTGATATCTTCTTTTAGGTACTACCACCGGTTTCTTCACCTATGGTCAAAGGTGCATCAGATGTTGATCCAGGCCCACCATGTCTTTTGGCATTCCTCACTTCCTTCAATCTTTCACTGACTCTCTTTCTTGATCACTTCCAAGGCACGGCCACGACCTTTTTCCTAGCTGAAGGTTTTTTTACATTAGTAGCAGCAGGGTCAGGTTGCATTGCAGCAGGTTGTGAATCATGTGTTGGGGGAGGTTGCATTGCAGCAGGTTGTGATTCATGTGTTGGGGGAGGTTGCATAGCAGTAGGTTGTGTGTGATTGTCAACTTGTGATTGTTGTTCTTCATAAAGATCCATCATATTATTCAGCAACGCATCCATCTCTGGGCCTTCATCCACAGTTCCACCTCCAGTTGCAGTTGTATCAACATTTGTATCCATCTCTGGGCCTTCATCCACAGTCCCATCAGATTTTTTTGACACTTTGGTCCTGGGTGTCTTTCTCTGCATTATTCAGAAACAAATATAAATAAAGACATTTCAATATGCTGAACACAATATTATTCAGTAACAGATTCATGAATACAATACCTTTCTCTTTAGTGCATTAGGATCTTGCTCCTTAGCTTGACACTTCCTAGAATTATGGCCAAATTTGTCACAATGCGTGCATCTATATGCTACACCTATCCTCCTCATCCTTAAACCATTCTCATCCAACTCTCTAAACCTCAGTTTCTTAGGCCTTCCAGGTCCCTTCTTGTATTGTGGTGGCAACAATTCTTCAGCATCCACAGTTGGCCACATGTCCATGCCATTTATTGGACTAACATTGTTTTCATAACATGCCCTGTAAGCTTCTCTCATGTAACAAGGGTCAACATATTTCTCAGGATCTAAGTTTTGATACTGTAATGCAGAAACAACATGCCTACAAGGTATGCCCACAAGATCCCAAAAACAACAAGTACAAGTTTTTTTCCCAATATCAACAACAGACTGCAATCCATTATATGGGTGATGGACTTGCCACAAATCACCACTGCTCCATGTAGGCAGCCATTCTCCACTAAGATATGTTTCCTTATCAAGCCTTTTCCTAGGATTAGGCATGACATTGTGCTTCCACTTATCAAGCTTAACAACACTATTAGCAATCCTATTCATCACGTAGTTCCTAATCCATTCTACCATAGTGAGTATTGGCTTATCCCTAGCTTGTAATATTGTACTATTGAAAGATTCACTCAAGTTATTCATCAAAACATCACACTTAGGGTAAAATGAAAATGAATGCTTACACCATAGTTTTGTTGGCACTCCCATCAGCCATTCCCATGCCTTCTTATCAATTTTTTTAAGCTGATTCATCTTCTTCTCCCAAGCCTGGAAATAAGTAGCCTTTACAGCCCCCAATAACAGGTCTCTAATGGCAGCTCCCCCTCCAAATTTCTTCTTGAAATTTGCATACAGGTGTCTGAGGCAGACCCTGTGTTCAACTTGCTGATGCATTTCCTCAAAGACACTAACAAGTCCCTAAAAACAGCAAGACAACAGAAAAAAGCATGTACATTAGCAACTTATATATTCCTCATAAATGTTGAACATTAGCAACAGAACAAGGCATGTAACATTAGCAGCAGGTTCTGATAAATGTTGAACATTAGCACCAGAATTAAGTAGTGCATATAGGGAAATAAACCAGAAATTAGTGCACTTTGTATAAACCAGAATTAGTGCACTTTGTATAAACCAGAACTATGTCACAAAGGTAATAGTGCATATTAGTGCAGAATTAGACATACTTCAGTACCAGAATTAAGACATACTACAGTAGCAGAATTAGTGCATATTAGTGCAAAATTAGTGCATGTTTCATAAATGTGAATAACAAAGGTAATTAGTGCATATTTGTACCTTTTGTTGGTCTGAAATAAAAACATACTTTCTATCTTCTCCAATGTCTTCCATTAGCAATTGCATAAACCATCTCCAGCTTTCTTTTGTCTCAGTCTCCACCACACCAAATGCCAAAGGATAATATTGGTCATTCGGGTCCCTTGCTACAGCAATTAACAACTGACCTCCATATTGTGTCTTAAGATGACACCCATCTACCCCTATAAATGGTCTACAACCCTTGGTAAACCCTTTCTTGCATCCATCAAAACAGAAGTAAAATCTACCAAATCTTAGTGGTAGTGTTGGATGTGGTCTCTCAGTATTTAGTTTGACAGTGTTCCCAGCACAATGTTTTCTCAACTCAGCTGCATATCTCCATAACATGTTATACTGTTCCTTTGCATCACCTTCAATTATTTCTTCAGCCATAGCTTTGGCTCTCCAAGCTTTCCCTTTGGTAATGCTCACTGAATATTTCTGTCTAAGCTCAGACATAATTTCAGACAGTTTAACTTTCCCTTGTGACTTCCTCTTTTCAACCACTAACTTAGAGACCCACTTGGAATTGGCAGACTTGTTATTTAATACCCTTGCACATGTGTGGGTCCCCACCCAAGTCTTTATCTGGTAAGTGAGGCTACCTCCCACTTTGCTACACAATGCCAAAAACCCACATTTACTCTTACACTCAACCCTAACCCTACAACTCTCATTCTTAACAAACCTTATTTCTCTACCATTTAATACTGACCAATCCCTGATAGCATCTTTAAATTCAGAAAGAGAAATGAACTCCATACCTAATTTGAATTGAAAGTCTTTGTTAAGCAGCTCTGATCTGAACTTCTCATACTTTGGCTTGGAAGGTTTGTCATCCATGTCACTTTCATCAGCATCTGAACTTTCAAGTTCCTCACTAGCATAATCCACATCTTCACATTTCCTTGTAGCCCTCTTTGAACAAGATCCTAAGACACTTTTGGGCACCAAAAGTCTGACCTTGTCCCTTTTGCTCTTTTCTTTCATCTTTTTGGGATCCTTGGATGCACAACGCTTGAATCTAAATGATTTCCCTTCGATCTCCACCCTATTCCCACTAACTGGAACAGCTACCTCCACTTGTTCAAATTGCTCTTCTTCTACGTCAATTACTCTTTCCTCTTCACTGTCATTGAAACACTGGCTTGCATCAACATAGTCACCAGTACTATCATCTCCACTAGAGGTGCTGAAGTCATCAACATTAGGTACCAGAACCTTGGTCATCATGTCTTCTACACCGTGCTCTACCCAAAGATCGTTGTGAACCCTACAAGACATACAATGCTTAGCAACTTCTACAGCTCCTGCATCATCAACAACATTTGTAAACCCTTCATCCGTTTGCGGAGTCTTTCTCCATAGCCTAAAACCTTCATAACCCCAATCTTTAACCAGACTAACAGCTTCAAAAAAGCTCCATTTATCTTCGTCCTGACCTTCAACAGTAGTCTCACTACCTCCTCTATAATACGTATGGCCGTCTTGCACGAAACTTCCCCCATGATGAAACACTAAATTAAACACACCCATTTGCAAGGATGAAGAACCCTAATCGCAGGGTCTGAATTGAAACTGGCTTTTTTTGTAAAATAATTTTGCAAACAAATGAAGATGGATGGTTGCGTCCTAATTTGGAGGGTCTGAATTGAAACATAACATTTGCCAAATAATTTGGGATTTTAAGAAAAGGGCATTCTGGACATTTTATTTGGTATTGTGTGACATGGCATAACAAAAACTTACAAATGTAACAAAAATATAAGCCACATCAGCCTTTTAGGTGATGTGGCATCCTCAAGGTAAAAACTGAAACTTTTAAAATTTGTCAAGGTAACAATTGGAACTTTTTTTTTGGCAGGGGGATTTTTCAAATATACCCCATATGTCAGGGGTGAAAATAGGTATTAACCCTATATTTTATTTAGAAAATATATTTTTAATACTAATTAATTTAATATTATTGAGTATTTAGAAAACATAATAAAAAATTAACAAACAAAATAATAAAGAAGACATTTCTTTTAATATATCACTCTCACAACAACTTTTTCGACAATATAATTAAAATAAATAAATAAATAAGAAAAATAATAAAAATAAAACCAAATCACATTAATGATAATGAGATTCACACTTCATCTATAAATATTTTTAGATACCGTTGTATATTTTGTATTTTAGATATTGTCTGCAATTACAATAACAACTTAAGAAAAATTAATACAACAAAATTTTAATGAAATAATTAATTTTAAATAGATAAAATGAGAGGAAGAAAGAAGAACTATAAAGATCATCTATAAATATTTTTAGATATCATACATAATAATTTAAAAATGGTCTGCAACTACAATAATATTAAAAAAAATTAACACAACAAAATTGCAACAACATAAATAATTTAAAAAGAGAAAATAAGAAGGAAGAAAGAAGACACATAAAATTCATCTAAAAATATTTTTAAATACCATTGTAATTTAGATATTACCTGTAATTACAATAACAATGAAAAAAATTAGTACAACATAATAGCAACAAAATATATAATTTAAAATATAAAAATAATATGGAAGAAGATCTTATGAAAATGGAAACACAAAATTGCAACAAAATAAATAACTTAAAATAGAGAAAATAAGGAAGAAAAAAGAAGATCCATAAAATTCATCTAACAATATTTTTAAATACCATTGTAATTTAGATATTGTCTGCAATTGCAATAACAAAGCAAAAAAATATAGCATAATAAAATAGCAACAAAATAAATAATAAATAATTCAAAATAGAAAAAATGATAAGGAAGAAGATATTATGATAATGGAAACATATGATAAAAGCAAAAAAGTTAGAAGAAGGAAAAAATATTCAAGAGTGAATTGAATTTGGTGACCTCTATTAACACATTTAATTAGGTGTGGAGGTATGCAATTTATTAAAAATGATTTTCATTTAATTAGGGATGGAGCCGTGGAAGTATATAATTTATTAAGAATAATATTAATTTATTTGTATTAATTTTAATAAATTAATTACATTTTATTAGTGTGCATTTTTTATTTGGAACATATGAGTTAAGTTTATTAGGAATAATTTTTTTAATTTTTTTATATATTATTATTAATGTAAATAAATAAATTTTATAATTTAATTAATTAATTATTATTAAAATGATGTTTTTTCAAATTTACGAAAATAAATAAATAAGTTAATTATATAAAATAAATAAAATATAAAATAAATACTTAAATTATGAGAATGAGTGATTTTATTAATAATAAATAAATTAATAATAAATTAATTAATTAATATTAATAATTATTAAGTTAATCTTAATTTTGATTTCAATTTTTTTTAAAAAAACTAATAACTTTAATTAATAAGATTTATGGACTCCGAGTCTCAAATAAATATATTTGCTCATTTGAAATTAAAAAAAAAAAAAAAAAAAACTTATGAGAAAATAAAATCTGAACGAATAATGGCTCCGCATGCTCTTCCTCCGGCCATTTCGAATAGCTTCCTTCGCTGGGGTTTGGGAGAGAATGGAGATGAAGGATTGTAGGGTAAATTGTAAAATTAAGTTTAATTATTATAATTGCAATTATATTTTTGTTGATTGAGAATCTGTGTATTTTATACACCAAAAGGACCAATTCACTTTATGTTATGTTCGGGGTCTCTAAATGCAACTCTACAAACAAATTTTAATAATATTTAAACAAATTTCTATTGGTACAGATGTTGCTAAGTGAATTTGATTGCGTTGTCACTATGTGAACTTACCACAATTTATTTGTTAACATAAAAATAGTGAATATCGGCATTGGATCTGGCGGTTGCGGGCTGTTTTTTAAAAACCATACTTGTATAGTGTTGTTTTTTGTTTTTTTTTTTTATTTTAAAAAACGGTCGCGTAAAGACTTTTGCGATTTTGGTTGGTATAGTAGTTGCTGCGATCATTGCAGTGTGAATTAACCATAATTTGTTCTCTAATATAGAAAACAGTGATAACATTATCGATATTGGTATCTACCAAAACCATTTTGTCATGGCCGTTTTCGCTGTCGTGGACAATTTTTTAAAACCCTTGTTGATGGCGGATGGACATGGTCTCCCTTTCCTTTCCACCATCCATGTTACGTAAAAGGCTAGAAAGTCTTCACTTGAAAATAAATGAATTAATATTGGTCAAACATACCAAGCTTCAATTTTAGTAGACTATATTATACTACTATTGCTCCAAATTAGTTTATCCAATATAGTGACACACTTGTTTCTGCAGCTGGGATTTTTGAAGCAGGGTTTTTCAACTTTGGAGATCCACAACGTCAATACTTTTGTATATGGTACAAAAACTTATCACCCAGGACTATTGTGTGGGTTGCCAATAGAGACACCCCTGTACAAAACTCTACAGGGTTGCTGAAACTCAATGATCAGGGAAATCTTGTTATTCTTGATGACTCGAAAGGCGTTGTTTGGTCCTCTAATTCATCAAGAATTGTGGCGAAACCAGTTGTTGTACAATTGTTGGATTCAGGAAACCTTGTTGTGAAAGACGCAAACAGCAGCGGTGAGAATAAGGATTTCTTGTGGGAGAGTTTTGATTATCCTGGTAACACTTTCCTTGCTGGAATGAAGCTGAAAAGTAATTTAGTTACTGGTCCGTATAAATATCTCACATCTTGGAGAAGCCCTGAAGATCCTGCTGAAGGCGAGTTTACAAAAATGATAGATACACATGGTTTACCTCAATTGGTTAATTCCAAGGGAGCGAGATTTCTATATAGAGAAGGTTCGTGGAATGGATTTCTTTTCACTGGTGTTCCTTGGCAAAGACTGCGCGGAGTCTTGAATTTCTCAGTAGTGTTCAAAGACAAAGAATTCTCTTATCAATATGAAACTAGGAACATTTCAACTATTACTAGATTGGTGCTAGATCCATCTGGAAATTCACAGCGTCTTCTTTGGTCAAATAAGTCACAAATTTGGGAGGCTATAGTTAGTGATCCTGAAGACCAGTGTGATGATTATGCCTTGTGTGGTATTAACTCTAACTGCAATATTAATGACTTTCCAATATGTGAATGCTTGGAAGGTTTCACGCCAAAATTTCAATCAAAGTGGGAGTCATCAAACTGGTCCGGTGGGTGTGTAAGGAAAACACATTTAAATTGTCTCCATGGAGATGGATTTTTTATGTACACAAATATGAAGTTGCCAGATACGTCATCATCGTGGTTTGACAAGAGCCTGAGCCTTGAGGAATGCAAGATTGGCTGTTTGAAAAACTGTTCTTGCACTGCATATGCAAATTTGGATATAAGATATGGTGGTAATGGCTGCATACTTTGGTTTGACAACATTGTGGACATGAGAATACATCCATACCAAGGACAAGACATTTACATACGACTCGCATCTTCAGAGTTTGGTATTTTCATTTCCTCTTACAACTTTTTACTTATCAGTTTTATATATAGAATAAATATTTTTCCTTTATCAGTTTTTAGTAAGCTTATAAGCCTTTGCTTTAATTGACATTTACTTCAACCATTAGACCATAAAAAGAAAAAGAGGAACTTGAAGCGTGCTGGAACTCTTGCAGGAGTTATTGCATTCATTATAGGACTTACCGTTATTATATTGGTCACATTAACGTCTAGAAAGAAGCTTGGTAAGCCAGGTAAAAATTTATGATAAGTAAATCTTTAATATATACGAGTTGCTTAAATAGTACTCAAATAGTGTTGCAAAAAGAGTTAGTTCCAACTAACGATAAATTCTGAAGTTTGATTGCTAAGTTAGCATTAAACCTCTTTAATTCTTACTTTAGGATGTATAGAAAATTTATTTCACAAGAAGGAGAAGGAAGATGGTGACTTGAAAACAATATTTGATTTTCCAACCATCGATAATGCAACAAACCACTTCTCTAGCAGAAACAAGTTAGGAGAAGGTGGTTTTGGGCCGGTGTACAAGGTAAGGTCTTTGTTACCAAGTTAATTTATCACCTCATTTCAGCAAGTTAGTACTAAAATTTACAAAAATATTAATAGGGCATCATGGTAGATGGCCAAGAGATTGCAGTTAAGAGGCTATCTAAAACATCAGGTCAAGGAACTGAGGAGTTCAAAAATGAAGTACAGTTGATGGTGTGATACGGTGGGAGAACTGACTGTGAGTTTTGCGTTTGTATTCGCACTTGTGCGGTTGAGCAAGAGTCGCCACCGACTTTTTATTTTATCCTAAAGGAAAGGTTGAAAAAGCACAGCAAAAACCTTTTGAGATATTTCGTGGGTCCGGTGGGTAGATTATGAAAAGGGAAGGTATTAGCACCCTTTTCATCCATGGTTATCCATGGGCTCTTAGTTACTTGGTTTTTTAGATCACTTGCTTTGATTTTCGATTGCTTGAAAATGTGGTGTGTGTGTGTGCGTTTTGAAAATGTTTTGGAAGAAGATGCCTTGTCTTAGGCTAACCTTGTAACAATTCTTTACTCGAATATTTTACAAAGGCGTGTATCTTTTCGAAAAGATGTTTCAAAATGTTTTGAGAGTTTGTTTTGAAAGTGCTTGTGGAATGTGGTTTTTGAAAAGAAAGCAAGTGTTTTTGCAAGTTGATCTCAAGTAACTAAGAGTTTTGTCTACCCTATTGTACTCAAAGGTTTTCTCTATGTTTTCAACCCCTTTTAACAATTTTGTTCCACCATTGAATTTGGTGGACAATCTTGCGTTTAGGAAGTTTATTCGGGACGGGCGCAGGTCATCGTATGGACCATGGATGCAATGATGCCAAGTGTCTTTGGCAATTTCTTTAAGGGACTTGATCATTCCGTTTTAGGCAACATTCGAAAGCGTCATCGAGGGACTTATGATCATTTGAATTTGTTTTGCCAAAGATACTCGACGTGCAAGCATGGCCCATTTTGGAAGGCAACATGTGGGATTACCCTAGAGGGTGCAAGTGTGGTTGTGTATTGATTTCATGTATTTGTCTTGTATTAGGTTATCTAGCGTTTGATTTTATGTACATACAAACCCTAGGTCTAACCATGGTATAATTGAAAGCGGTAAATTGCGAAAATGTAAAGTCTACGCTATTACAAAATAGGTATCCGGGAGTGGGGGTACACATTTATGAATGGGGATGAGACTTAGGAATGTAATGTCCAATAAGTTACAACCAAATCGAATTTGCGATCAAATGTAAATAATATATATCAATGTATGGAAATAGCAATTGTATATGTGTCAAGTGTATAATGTGAAATGTATTGTAATTGTAATTATTTACAGGTTAGAGATGTGAAATTGAATGTGTATTAAGTATTATTTTGACCTAAAGAAAAACTAAGTGTTTATTTAATCTTTGATTTGTGATCTTATACTTTCTTTGATATGTACAAAAAAGAATGCTTTGATTAAATGTTCTAAGTTTTAATTATGTATATAAAAAAGTATTTTTTCATTTGTTATGTACAAAAAGAATGTTTATATTGAAAGTTTTCTAATTAAACTATGTATATTAAAAAAGTATTTATTTATTATGTACAAAAATTTCTTAAGAAAGGAAAATGTATTTATTTTAAAAAAAGAATTTATATACAAAGTATGTTTTAATCAAATATCAAGAATTGAATTATGTATATTAAAAAAAATGTATTTTTAAGTATTTTTAGTATTAATGTTTAAATTATTTTAATTAAAAAGAAGGAAAGGGTTGAGTTTATTTATAAAAGAAATGGGCTTGGAGGATTATGGTGGCCCAGAACAAAAGAGCCACGAATGGGGGTGTTAACTGGAAACTAATGGGCTTAGGCATAGATGGTTGGGGCAAAGCCCAGTTATTGAGACAAGGGTTTCTTAGGGTTTGTGAGAATTGTTTCAGTTAGACAACGCTTAGGGTTTGTGAAACGCGCCGTTCGTTCACTTTCATTCATCCTCTTCGTCCTTTGGCCATGGCTACTGAACAACGCCTCCTTGCATGAGCTACCACGCTACCCCCTAAACTCTCTTTCCTCCCCAGCTCGAGTTCAATGGTCTCACGACAACAAGGTTCGCTTTTGATGTCTTTTATACCTTTTTTACGAATTGCATGCTTATTTACTTTGAGCTTAAACTTTTGTTTTTATGGAGGTGATGGAGAAAAAGAGAGAGAGAAAGGCGTGCTACCTTCGGTCTTGGAGAAGGAGGAGAGATAGGGTTGGTGGCGCTCCGGAAGCTTGCCGGCGGGGATGTGGTTGACGATTTCTTTGAGCTTCCTGGTACTCTTTATCTTGCGATTTTGAGGGTTTTGTGATGATATTGACTGAAAACCTCCTCTTAAATTCACCTCTTTCTTCTTCTCCTTTGCCTTTACTGTTTGTTGCCTTGAACGTGTTTCTTTGGTTGTCTTTGAATTGCCTGTGATGTTGCTTCTTCTGAGGCTTGCCTACTTCGTTCGTATGCCCATGTTGTCTTGAGATGAGTATGCTTTTGAATGTTTGTTGCCTTAGATTTTCTCTCTTCTTCTGACTTGTGTTGCCTTGGTTGCCTTTGTTGATTTTCCTGTTGAAATGCTTCTGTTGGCTATGAATTGGATGCTTTTGGTTGTCTATTCACTTCTTCCTTGCCCCATGATGAGCCTAGGGTTCCGAGGGCTTAAGTTGCCTTTGAATATGCTTGGATATTTTAGTGTTTTATGAATGTCCCTGTGATGAACTCTTCGAGTTCTGAGGGCTTGAGGCTTGAATCCTATGTTTGCACCACTTCTGATTCTTGGCAAGGTTGGACAGGGTAGACGTTTTGGCTTGAGGTCAGTTTTGTTTAGGCAGGTTTGTACGCTTAGCACTGTTTTTGACAAAGGGTTATATGTTTATGGTTAAGGCAGGACGGGTTTTATGCTTGCTTCAGGCATGTATGATGCTGAGGTGAACTTGTTTTTGTTGTTCTTGTTTCAAGGCTTCAGGCAGGTATGATGCTGAGGTGAACTTGTTTTTGTTGTTTTTTGTTTCAAGGGTTTAAAGGTTTGTGCTGGTTTTAGCAGGTTTTCACTGGTTTATGCCTTGAAGGTTTTTTACAGCTTAGGTAGGTATGAGGCTGAGGCCAGGTTTTTGTTTGACAGGTTATATGCTGGTATGGCTTATGCAGTAGGCAAGTTTTGTGCTTCAGGATTTAGCAGGTTTGAGTTTAGGCCATGTTTTATGCTGGTATGGCTTATGCAGTAGGCAAGTTTGCTTCAGGCAGGGTTGGCATATGCAGGTTGTATTGGTTTTTGGCCTTGTTCAGGCCATTTGACAGTTTGGGCAGGTTTGCTATGGGATGGAGGTTTTATCAGTTTGTATATTTTCTTTGTGTTGGTTTTGTTCCCTTTTTACTATACTGTGTTTAGTTTTTTTGTATATGTTTCTATCTTCCTGCCTAAAGCCTAAAAACCTGCATTCTTTTCTCTCCTCTTCTCTCTCCAGTACACTTCAAAAAATATTAAAATGTTTTTGTGTGTACTTTCTGAAAGGGCTACTTGGGGAAATGATGAAAATGAGTGTAGTTGCTTGCATATCCAATTTTCTCTGCATATTTGTCTCTTTTCTTTGACAGCTTGATATCCTTCCAAAATCTTCTTTTGCCAGCTTGATATCTTTGTGACAGTTGCTTTATATTTTTGGCAGAAAGTTGTACTTTTGGATTTTTTAGTTTGATTTGAACTTGCTTCTGAACTATGCAGTTTGACACTTTGAA